GCCATAATGCTAATTGCTTGATGAAAAGAACTGCATGATAGAGAGCTTGACACTCAGACATAATCTATCAGAGCGCCTTGGCGCCATAAGGAGACCAACTCCAACCTAGAAATAAAAGAACTTAACACCTTGGCTCCTCTTACGACAACTCAGGGTCCGTTTGGGACAATTTGTACGTCGGCTGGCGCCGCGGCCCGCGGGCCGAAAGCAGGGTTCAACCCGTAACCTGCGTTCAGTGTAAAAACCCAAACGCAGTTTCGAATAAACTGGTGAAACGCGCGAACCAAACAGTACGACGTCGTTTTGAAAACGCTACCCGCACTTATAAGGTGCCCCAAACGGACTCTCAAGCAACACCTCATCACTACATTTTACAGCATCACAGAGTATAAATTACATCAAATTTAAATAATTAAAAAAATTGTTTTGATAATTTGGTATCTATCATGCCTTAAAGATATTTAAATATTAGAATGTTATATAAATAAATATAAATATTTAGTAATTAAATGTAGAAAAAATATCATTATATTAGATAAAATTAATCCCTCACTGATGAAGCAAAATGAGACGAGGTCTAGTCTTTCTCAAGGGCATTGCTTTGAGAAGAAGGCTCCTCTTATTGTCCACTACCTCAAAAATCCACTCACAGCTATCATCTTCTAAAGACAAGACAAATGTGGGTTGTGTGTCTCCACATGATGAAGGGACCACAAATCTATACCTTTCCTCACCATTCCTTCCAAATCAAGAGTGGATAAAGTCATGTAATTTGAATTTTGTTTATTTCTTGGATTGCAACATCCTAGAGGTCTTTTGTTGATGGCTTTATGTGGCTGAGAATTTTCATATGATTAATGGGGGCGCCTTTCAAGATTTTCTATTTTGTGAGAATAATAATAATTCATGCACCATCAACAAATTTTCATCATCGGCACATATTTCGAAGCAATTTTTTTGGAATAAATAATGTTTAAAATTCAATTAAAATTCATCTATAACTCTGATTCTAGCAAATTTATAGATCAAACGGACTGACTTGACGAGTCGAATGCAATGACAAAAACATTGACCCAATTCAGGTCAAATTATGCCCATATCAAGCCATTAAGTTATTTTTGGAAGCTTCGAGTGCCCAATTGGAAAGCCAAACGGATTCAAAATCTAACAAGATTATAGTCAAATCGAGTATCTCGATAAGAAGAATGCAATGAACCTAAGGTCACTCGATTCTAACATCGTTGAGGTATTCAAATGTTAATCAAACGTCATTCGATTGAGAGAATCTCTCAGGGTCATCTAATGAAGTGGTTAAGATTTCTTTTTATTTGTGAGAATGTCTCTCTTAGATTCTTTAAATGGAGCCCTGCCCCATTCATGAAGGGGGATCTGAGACTTGATATTGGAGGAGGATTCAGAAAACGAAGATTCAGTGAATGTTCTCACTCCCGAAGCCACCGACCGCCATTGAACGCAACTCGCTAAACATCTTCAGCCAACGTGGATTTCCCTTTACTCGTTACAATGAAACATGTTATCAAATAACGACCAACATTGCAAAGTAACGAAACACTATGCAAAGTAGCAGTCCACATCGCAGAGTAGTGAAGCCTTCTACAGAGGAGAACATCGTCCTGAACATAACACAACGACATCTTTCATAGAAAGTGTGCCAAAGTTCTAGCAACTGCAACCGCTCCTGATAATTGTGTTCTGAGTTCTTTTAGATACCAACATTGTAACCACGTTACCCTTTGTCTTATGTGGGATGAGAGCATGTACTTATGCTCATCAAGTTATAATGGATTATTTTTGACTAGGTTGGGTCTCATGGTTATTTCGCTTCATGAGCTTTCCACGTAAGACTTCTAGTGTTTCCACCTCTCACTTTTATTGAATGAGTGTGCGTTGGATTCTCGCGCAACGCTAATACAATTGTTCATTACTCTATCACTATGAATTCTCTAATGCACATAAGTTTGACACCATCCATGGGAACTCCATCCCATCACCGAAACACTCACAAAACGTGTTAAATAGCCACCAGACACAACATTCGCAACACCAAAGAATTCTGCTCAAGCACCCACCATTCCAGGGGACAATCACAGAGCCAATGACCTCAAACATCTAATGCTTCCCACCCTGAAAGACGTTCTCTAACCAACAAAGGCACTTCAGTTCCCTCTCTGAAGAATTGAGCGTGCATGATGGAAAAGTCTCAACATGATATTCCTTCAGCTCCCATATGAGGCTTGGCAGCTAATATCCATACAACGAGCTCAATTGCAGACAAATGTCCCGCTTGAGCACACTCGTATTCAACTGCCTCTCCATTATAAAACCCTTCCCCTTTAGGACACCGACCTTCCTGATACTACGAGCCCCACTCATTTGTGCCGCACAACTAAACCGGCCAATAATCCCATCAATAATTCCTCTATAATTTAAAGAGTCTATTCATCAATGTATCACTTCTATAAACTTTCAGATTAAAAATACCATTCATGCTTTATCAAAGCGCCTTCTCGTGAAAGATCATATAAATAAATGAGATTCGGCCTCAAGAGAAAGAGACAAAATGGAAAATATAATAAATTAAAATTTAATTTTGCATAAGAAAAACATAAATATAATAAGTGATTGTAAAGTTCTATTCACTACAACAAGCTAGAAATGTTCAAAGCAGGCAGCCATACGGCTCATGTTCATTTTAATTTATTTATGTCCAACATTGTAACTCCATTGTTAAATTCTTGTGGGCATGCGGTTTGATCATTGTTTGATCTCTTGGAGGCGATGTCTTCCAAGTTTCTATTCATCTAAACATACAATAAAGAAACTGATGTTTATGCATTTTCATCCTTACAAAATTATAAATTATTTTTTAAAAATAATAAATGTAAAATATTTTTTATAAATATATGTAAGAGTTTATAAACCATTGGTATTAAGGGTCCATTTGGGGCAGCTTATAAGCCGTACCGTTTGGTTCGCACTTTTCGCCAGAGGCAGCGTTCCGTTTGGTTCGTGCTTTTTGCCAAATTGTGTTTAAGTTTTTACACTAAATGCAGGCCGCGGGTCGACCCCTGCGGCTGGCCTGCGAGCCACGTTTCAGGATAAGCAGCTTATCCTGAAACGCACAAACTGCCCCAAACGGACCCTAAATATAAATGTGGGAGTTTTATGTCACATTAATTTATTAAAAAAAATAAAAAAAGGGACTGTAAAAAATTATAATAATGATTTTAAAAATAATTATGTTACTTAAAAAAAAAAGGTCATTTAAAAACAATTTACTAATTTGGCCACCACTTGAGAGGTCCTTTACTTTTTTAGCTTTGTTTTGAATTTATATTACCAACATACATACAAACTCCTATTTTCTTCGAGAAAGAAAAGCTGTTTTTCGTATTTTCTCGTGTTTGTTTTAATCCATATAAAATTCTCGTAAATTTATATACGTGGTATGGGTGATCAGATATTCAAACCTTGCAGGTATCATAAGAATATCCTTGTCTTTAAAACCATTTAAAAATACCATTTTCATGTCAATTTGAAAGAGTTTATAGTCATTAGGGCATGAGTAATAAATGAGTGATCCAATAACTTGAGTTTTAATGTCTTATAGATTATGTCTTAGAATTGCATATAAATGAAGCTCTTATCTTTCTTAATCTTTTTAGCAAAATTATTTCTTCTAATATGTTAAATATAATGTATAGAAGTGACTTGACTTTTTATTTATATAATATATTTTACTTTTCATTAATGAATAGCAATGAAAAATAAATAAAATAAAATAAAATAAAATAAATGGGATTTAAAAGTATTAAAATATAAAGCTTTAATAAATTTAAATGAAAAAAATCACAACAATAATATAAATTGAAAATATAGAAATTAGGAAAGGTTGTATATATTAAAAGTTAAATATGCCAAATAGTTTGTAAGAAAAAGTTAAATGCAATTATTATAATTTTAATGTCAATATTTATGAAAGCAACTTGATTTTTTCCTAAGTTTCATCATGCTTTAAATAGCTAAGAGGTGGTTTGAGATCATTTTTATAATTTATTTTTATTTTAATTTAAAATAAAATATGTTTGTTATGACATAACATATTTAGTTGTGGTTAAAAACACTAAAAATTATTTTCATGTAAAATACACTATAGAAACATATTTATAAATAAAAGTAAAATTAAAAATAAAATAAAAAATAAAAAACAACATAATTCAGGATCAATGGATACTGATTTGGGCTGCTATACGGGCTCTCAGCCCAGTAATATTTTAAACTTATTTTCCAGTCCGTCAAAAAGAAGCTCCCGCAAGGATTAGGAGAGAGAAAATACTACTCATTGCGGACCACAATTTTTATTCAACGGCGCGGAGTCGATAGGATTGGACAAAATTAATTAGTTTAATTTTATATATATATATATATATATATATATATATATATAATTTTCTTATCTTTAGTTAAAATGAGCAGAACACGATCAAACAAAGAATTGATCATATTTAACTCGTTTATAATTCCAGTTTAAAAAATTGGCTCATATACAATTTGCTTACTTAACGGAGGACTCGTTCATGAGCTACTTAACTAACCGAGCATAAGCCATTCTCTAACAACAATCCTGTTTTGATAGCTCTAGCTTAGGAAAAAATATACATTAGGAGCCCTGATGCATTTCTGCATCAAGACTCCAATAAAATTACTCCGGAAGAGGTAAATCATACATTAAAATATATAATTTTTTTTATTTAATACGTCTTGTCGTGTGACGCGACTTAATTTTATTGGAGACTAGATGCAATTCTGCATTAGGACTATGATGTAATATCATTTGGTAGCTTAGGGATTATTAGGCATTCACAATTTGTTTATTTAATTTTAAAATAAATTAAAAAAAAAATGCATGAGTTTTTCAATTTTTTAAAAAGGAATTTTCTTTCATACTTTTTTCATTATTTTTACTCTCTCTGCTTCGATTTCTTTTATTATTATTATTTTTTTCCTCGAGATGCAGATTAAAGATTTCTAGGGATTTCTCGCCGGTGACCGGAGATGCCCACTAAGGCGGCGAGCAACCGGCCGGAGGACCTAGCGGCGAGATTAGGGGAGGTGTCTGGAGTGGCAAAGGGAGAAGCGCTCTTGAAGGCTCTTCGGGAGGTGAAGAACCAGATAATCGGAAACAAGACGAAGAAGCGCAGATTCCTCTACCTTGGTGCTGTTCCTAAGATCGTCTCAGTGCTTGCTGCGGCAGATTCTGATGGGGGCGATCCGGCAATCATCGTGCAGGCGGTTGCCGCTATCGGCAGCTTCGCGTGTGGAGTGGAGGATGGGGTCCGCGCGGTGGTGGAGGCTGGTGCCGTCCCGCATCTCATTCGGATTTTGTCCTATCCCAATGAAAAGGTGAATCTGAATTGTTATTAGTGTTGAATTTTTATAGATGTGGAAATAGTCTGAAAATGTGTGTGGCGTGCGGTTTGAACGCCAATTGGGGAAGGATTGTTGAATACTTTTGCTGTATCCATGCGCTGTTTGCCTGTTTTGAGTGATATTTTGATTGGTTTTGTTCGGTGCTATGGAGGTTGCTGTGTTAATTGTGTTTAATAGGAAACAATATCGCTTTATAGTATGATGGGTGCAGAATAAAAGGGAAATTTTAAAATGTTCGCTTCAAAATCAGGAATGGAAACTCGAATGGTTTTTTGTAAAGAGGTTTATTATCTTGTTTTTGGTCCATAATGTTGACGGAAAGGAGGATTTAGATTTGTATCGTTCAGCTCTGAATGTGTGGTTCGTATTCATGATTCTCTCTCTTTTTACTAAACATTTCTAGAGCACCATCTTCCTAGTTCTCGAGAGAAACCGACTTTTTTCATGCAGGCCATAGCTATTGGAGGATTAGGCTCTAAGGGGTTTGCTTTTGTTTTTACCATTTTAAATTCTCACTACTTAAATGATGAGAATGTATGCTCTGATACCAAAAGAGCTCTAATGCATGAGGTTTTATAGCATTATTCGCACACCTTAATTGATGTTTCTAATTTCAAGTTCCCTTGGTCTATGAAACACCAATTGGTTAATCAAGGTCATAAAGGAACTTTTGTTTTAAATGCAAAAGGAAAATAATATAATAAAACCAGACAAAGTTCAGCAAGCTCAAGCAAGCTTCATTTGAAATGGATCGCAATTGTCAAGACAAACTTTAACGAGGTATATCACATGTTGAATCTTTTTCAGTGGCACCCATCTAGGAGGAAACTATCAATCAAGACATCCAACAACTCTATCAACAACGATTGTCTTTTTTTCTCGTATCGGCTCTTCAGAACACTACCTTTTAGGACTATTAATGTTAGTTCTATTAAAGTCTCTCTCACGGGCTTAGCTTGAATCACTAGCAACATTCTCTTGTCGATTGGAAATTGTTACTCTGCTCTGGGGTCTTTATCCTCTCATGTGTCGCTGATCATTTCTTTGACTGCTCCCTGTTCAGTGAAAGAGATTATTATCAAGTTTGTGCAATCTGATATAATGTGCTCAAAGCTATGACACTTGAAACACTTCCTGGCTGGACAAATTTGAGAGTATTGATTGTCCATTTTTTCTCCACTATGAACTAGTTTCTCCTCTCTCGAGGTGGGCTTGGGTGTTTCATTACGTGTACTCTTGTTTCTTCATCCGTTGGCTGAACCTTGTTTAATGGGTGGTGTGGATCTGATACTACTGTGTTTTCTCTCTACCTTCAGGGCTAGGTTTTGGACATCCTGTAATGTCCAATAAAGTTGCAACTGTACCACACCACCAATGAACAGTCCCAATATGGTGTTTTCATTTGACTCTACTAGTTCACATTTCAACATAAGTTACTCGAAATTAGTCGTGTACTCTACCGAGATATCGTTCTGTTGTAAGCGATGGAGTCTCATGAACATCGCATGTCTGTAATATGCTCATAGATATTTGCGCTGCATCTACCTTTTCATTTTGCATCAAATAGTGATTTTACCTTTCCTTTCATGTTGTTAAATTTACTTCAACTTTTTCCACCATAGAGGTGTTTTTTCTTGAACTTAATGACGACTTGCTTTACCCTTCTGTTTAGTGGAACGTTCCGGTACTAAAAAGATTGTTCTATTGCTCGGAGACACTCGTTGAACTTGTCTGGATTTATACGACCCTCAAAATTCGACAAGCCACTCTTCATTCCAAAATTTTAGCCTCTCCTCTGATATTTCATGCCACGTCGTCGGTGTATTAATTCTTCATCATTGAAAATAGCATGATGGAAGTGGTTCACTTTCTCCTCTAGATCTGATGAGTCACTGTTGTGGCTACAAGTGATCTCTATAAGTTTCCTCTCAAAAGCGATAAAAATTTGTTGTAGTTGAAGGATTTTTCACTGCATATTCTTCAAAGTAAGCTTTTGGACATCTCTTTGTTGATTTTTCTTAGGCTCTAGGACACATTTTTGTAGATTTTTCACTGTATATTCTCCATAGTAAGTTCCTGGATTCCTCTTTGTAGATTTCTTCATCACTAAAAGCTGTTTGATAGTAGGGATTTACTTATTCTTCTCTATCTAACGAATCGCCGTTATAGCTAGAAGTGACCTTTGCAAGTTGTCTCTTCTCAAAAGCAGGAAGTTTTTGTTGCAGTTGAAGGACTTCTCATGCATATCCTTCATAGTAAGCTCCTAAATATCTCTCTGTAGATTTCTCTTAGGCATTATTATATTGTTTTCTCTCTATCAAAGTTTTCAGCGGATATGAGATTGCAAATCACGATTGGTGGGGCGTAGATTTTGATGGTAAGTATTGAAGTGAATTTTAGTGAAGGTATGAAGACTGGATTTTAAAAATTTCGGTTGTGGCTAGGAATTGTGGTAGAAAGGTTTTGGTATGGTGGGGATGATTTAGTTTTAAAATTTTGGATTTAGGGTAAGGAAGATAAAACAAAAAAGCTTGGTCTGGCTCTGATATCAGATGATATTGTTTTAGGGCTTCTTAAAATGTGATAGGAAGTGGGTGTTTGCGTGGAGGTCGTTGTGGGATGGCAAGAGGAAGATAATATGCGAGTTCGATGACATTTGGATGGGGATACACGTCATTCGGCGGCTGTCCCACGAGATAATGAAAGTAACCACTAAATAACACATTACGATTGTCAAGGAGGTTCACCACTTGCTCCTCAATAAGCTACATACACACCACTTGCAAAAAGAATAGGATGCAACACTTGATAAGTAGAAATCATATATTACAATCTTCAAAATACTTGAACAAACCAAAAGTTCCCTCATAATCAAAGTAGAAAAAATAGAAAATAATAGAATATAAATAGTTCCCTCATAGAAAAGACCTGATTATATATTAGAATAGAGAAATATGAAATAAATTGGCTGAACATGGGAAAAGTGATGGGATCCAGGTCGTAATAGGCTTCTCAATCCAACAGAATCGCATAATTCCCGCTTGGGAATTTTGCGGAGTCGCGGGATCTCGCTTGTTCCGCATAATCATACGGAGCATAGAGCTCCCACATCACCTTTGGTCTCCTTTTTTTTACTATTTAGTATTTTACTTTCTATCTTATACCTAGCTCGATAGATATAGGCAATGGAAATCTAATTTCATGCTCGATTGAATATGCATACATTAGATCTTATTACCTAGCCTCCTGAGATTAAGATTATTCTTTGTGATAGAGTTTACATTATCAAATTTCATCTTAATGGCTTTGCTAGTTCTAAAGGCTTCTTTATTTGCCAAAAGATTCGCCTAATTTTATAGGATTAACTATTTTGATACCTCATTTATTACCCAACTCTGCTTTATTAGCCTTATATTATCTATTAACATTAATCAGAATTGGCCTCTCTTGTAGATGGATGTGACTACATCTTTATATGATGATTTTACTAGGACTGTGTATATGAAACAACCAACAAAGTATGTTAATTAAGGGGGAGGCTAAAGTGTGTAAACTTAATAAAGCCATCTACGACCTAAAACTAAGCCCTCGCCCATGTTTAAAAAAAATTGCAAATTTCTTGCTAAGGTTGGCTTTTGAAGTAGTCTTACAAACCATTTGATCATTTTTTGGTATACTTCATATGGCTGTTATTTTAATTATTGTTAGAGGTTATTAGTATTGATTTATTTTCTTTCTGATTATTTTCTATTTTATGTAAGAAGTTATTGGTATTGATTTATTTTCTTTTTGGTTATTTCCTATTTTATATCTTTCTTTTTATCTCTGGACAATTATTAGGAATTGATTAATTATAATTTTGGAGATATGGATGTTATCTCTTTCCTATTTTAGAATTCATGTAACTTATATTTATACCTTCTTTCATATTAATAAAATTATTCTGCTAAATTCTCAAAACCTAATTAATATCAGAGCCTTGAAACAAACTTTAGAGTATTTGGCGGAGAAGATCTCTTGCCTCTGGAAACTTCCTATTCCTTGCAGTCGACAACCCGCATGCCCTTCCCAGCCATTCTACCTTCCTCCCATGCCTGCAGACTATTCACATGATTACTGCCCCTTCCTGTAGTTGTTCCTTTCTATAGCCAACATAAGTTCTCGTAGCAGATCTACTACCTGGGCAACAAAACAACTGCATGACCAGCCATCAAAAGTTCTTGTAGGAGAGCTACTTCCTGGGAAATAGAATAGCCGCTCCCATAGGAGCCGCCAGCAGAAGTTCCCGTAGTAGAACTTCCAACCAAACATTCGCTCCCATAGCCAGTAGTCGTAGCCTGCAAACCTCTTCTTCTGCAGCAACAACAACTAGCAAACTGTGGGATTCCTCGTCTTTGCAGCAAGCAACAAACAACAAGCAACTGCCTTGGGCTAGCAAAACTTAGATTTGCAGCAAACAACAACCTTCAGCAACTCCTGGATAATGGCGACTGCAATGATCGTGATGATGATCGGTGGTCCTCAAACCTCTTCAGAACTGCTCGGCCAAAGTATCGACCCGCCTTTACACTCGCCGGCTTGTCGCCGTTCTCCGCCAAGTTCTCGAAGACGTCCTCGAGACCTCTCATCACGATCAAAATGTAGCTTCTCTCGTCTGAAAGTCTTGGTTTTGCATTGAGGCCCAGACTCAGCTCGAGCTCTTCATCGACAACTGCTATGTTGTCAGTCCTGTTGCCGGCATGGTTATGTCTTATCACTCCCCCGAGAGAATCTGCCTCAAGCGAACTGTTTCTGATGCAAATCTCGTGATCCTAGAAACCTCCTTCCAGGACTGTCACTTTTTTGTTGCGATGGATTTACTATCGTCGGCCTCGCCACCATAGCAGAGAGATGCAGGTGTCTCCAATCTCTAGATATGATAGACAATGACATTGAGGGCGACGATGAGGGGATTGGGTGTCATGCTTTCCACC